AGGAATGTCAGTTGAAGCTGGAACACCATCCAGCACTCTGCTACCAGTGCAAGTGCCATGTCACCGCAGAAGAATGGGGCGGAAAGGAAGCCCCACTGCCAGAGCACACACCCTAGGAACAGGGAGATGTGTGGGTGACACTGGAGCCACACACAGGGCTTTCTCAAACCAAAAGGGCTGAAAAATCAGCCTTGCAACCTAACCCTCTGCCCTCTGCTTTTGTAGCAACCTTTTCCACCTCACACGGATCTATTCCTCTGTCACACGTTGCCCAAACCACTTGTGCAGGGAGGAGAAAAACGAACCAAGTTATGGCGAAGAACAGTGAAGCTCCATAACCCAGCAGTGACAACATTACACGAGAGGACAAATAGTGGCCACAAACCAGCCTACCTTGCAGGCAGCTGCAACCAAAGTACTGGTCTTGGTGCCCCAACACATGAGCAGAATCCATGCAAGGAAAGTGACAGGCACAGTCACTTACTGACCGCAACTATCCCCAAGGCTGAAACTGAAGTGTCTGCTGGAAAATCCCTCCCAGCCCTCCCAGCCAGACAAGAGGGACATACCACTCCTCAGGTTTGGGGTAAACAGTGTGCCTGAGGGCGTTGTCTGGGTCATACTCGAAGGCTACACCAGCCGTGGGGTTCCACTTGGCGTGCTCCTTGCCAAAGCCCTTCTTGGCATAGGCTCGAAGCCTCAGCTCCTGGCCCTTCCGCAGCTTCACAATGAGGATATCTGTGGAAAAGCAGACATCCACTTGAGAAGGCTGAAGAGCAAGGTGTGCAGGACCCCAGCAGGGCAAAGGCAGGAAAGTCTAGTGCCCAGGAAGGTTCCAGCTGGAGCCAGGGCTCACTGGGATTCTTAGGGGGAGCTCATCTGTATCCCCAGAGTAGCTGGGAAGCATCTTGCTAAAGGAAAAGAAATTGCGGGTAAGCCCAGAGGCACCACCCAGGCCCCAGCACAGAATACAGTGCAGCATTTTGCATCTTTGCTGTCTCTGAGCTTTCACAAGGAGAGGGAGAAGCAGCCCCTGCCACAGGAGGCACAACCTTCAAGTGGCTTTAAGACAGAACCAAACCCCCATGTCCCAGCAATACCAGTGGGACAGATGCCTCTCAGTGACACAGCTGGGAAAGGAAGAATGAGCTCAAAGAGCCTGAAGGAAAATTCCATTTCCTCCTTCAGCTGCTACTGCCAGTGAACTGCTGCTCACCATCCTGCTCAACGTAGTCATTGGGGTCGTTGTCTCTGCTCCGAGATGTCACCTGCAGATGAAGAACAAAACCAAGTGAATTAATGGCCAGATCAGCTTTTCTGCCCACAGCAAATAGCACTTGCCTACAAATATTAGAGACTGCAAAGAGCAACTCTAGTGTGAATTACAGCACCAATTCAGCCACCAGAAGCAGCCCCCAGGTTGTGGTGACATCTGGACCTCTGTGACCTCAATGAGAGGAACCCTTGTCCTCTCACAACAGGGACTTTTTACATGGGATGATGGCTTAAAACTGGAAGAGGGGAAATTTAGATGAGACATGAGGAGGAAACTCCTTGCTGTGAGGGTGGTGAGACCCTGGAACAGGTTGCCCAGGGAAGCCCAGGTTGCCCAGGCTGCCCCATCTCTGGAAGTGTTGAAGGGCAAGTTGGATGGGGCTTGGAGCAGCCTGGTCCCTGCTCATGCAGGGGGTTGGACTACATGATTTTTTAAGGTCCCTTCCAACTCAAACCAGAATGGGATTCTGTGATACAACAGCATTTTAAAACATTCTCCATTAAGTCCCTTTGCACCTACTCTGCTTTGGCTCCCCCAGCCCTCCCCATGGCAAGAGCCCTGGCCAGGCTCCTCACACCTAAGAGCCAAGAACCAGAAGCCCAGAGGCCTCAGGGCTGCCCCTGCCCCAGCAGCACAGAGGCAGCAGGACATAGCACACAGCCCTGGGTGCCCCAGCTGAGATTGAGGGGCTACACTAAAGCCAGCCCCCGAGTTGGAGACAAGGACTATGGGATGGGGGTTAAGGAGGCCACGCTGCTTTGACACACCCCAGGACAGCAAATAGACACGGAGGCAAAGAAGAGGACACAGCGGCACATGCAGCTGGTTTTGCATATATTCCTGCTTTGCTCTCCACTTGGTATGAAGAGAGGCTTTAGGCAAGGCCAAATGTGCTCGGAGGCTTTGCTGTGTCCACATCCCAGATGTTCACCACCCCAGCCTCAGCAGGA